TGTTTCAAGGAAGTGGCAGTATGACTGGAAAGCTGGTACAGGATCAAAGGGACTGGGCTGCAGAAGGGACAGCTTCCCCACAGAATCAAGTGGCTGGGAGAAAGGGAGGCCAAGCTGAGTTTTGAGAGGGCATGGCGTTTGCCTAACTGGCTGTGTGGACAAAAGATACAGCAGCCAACAGCACCTGGGGACCTGACCTGACCCGGAGATGAGTGCTTTCTTATCTATGGGCCAGCTCTGGTGAGGTCAGTAAGGACAGGAGAACAGGGTCTCACCCACATCCAGGAGGCATGCTAAGTGCTCAGCTCAGAATAAGAGGGAAGCTAAAGGGTTGCAGTGGGACCCAGAAGGGATTTGTAGCTGACTGGGCAGCAGTACGGCCGCACAGCCGTCTTCCAGTTCAGGAAAGGGCTGCTATTGCTCCAGAGGAGGGGCAGAATGGAGGATGGTGCTGGAGGGAGGGAGCTAGGGCTGCAGAGACCAATCAACAAGAAGGGGCCTGGCTTGCAGGCTAGGCAGCCAGTGCCCAAAGGGACAGCTTCCTGGGCAGTGCAGCTGGGAACTTCAGCTCATCATCCTTGGTGACTGTGCCCCACCTTTCTTCATTTAATGAGCTCCAAAAAAGGGTGCTGACCCTTTCTGGGTGCCTAATGCTGGGGATTAATTAATGTGGCCCCATGGCCTGAGATGGGGATGCAACAGCACGCAAGTAATCTGGTGATCCTGATAAAATGCAACTCTGAGAGGCTGGGGTAGCCACAATGTGTGCAATTCTGATGACTCTGGGTCACTGAAGAGCAACCTGCACCTCAAGCTGCAGGGGCCTAATAGGGTCACAGTCAGGAGCGTACACGGGTCACCTCCACAACCTACCCAGACAAGCAGGAGTGAGGGAGACAGACTCACAGAGGACAGGCCTCTAGAGCACTTGGGAGGTCCCATAATACACGGGTTGGAAGCCAAGGCCACTTCTCACAGCCCAGAGTGCTTATCTCAGCCCTGTCCATACGAGAGCTCCCAAAGTCCCCAACCACTCCACCACCCAGCAGGACACTTGCCCAAAGAGCAACAGGCAAGTCTTTCAGAGGCTGGGAGATGGTCTGCCATGGCTGGAACAAGTGGAGGGGCAGAAGGGCAGGAAATGAGATGCTGTGTGGCCTAAGGCCAGATGGGGGTCCCTGAAGCTACTGTGAAGAGAGGAAAGACTTCCCTAGGAACTGCTAGGCTAGGGCCATGAACTGGCACCCAGCCCAGCCTCCACTGTTCCAGAGCTGCAAGGGTGGGACTCCATTGCTCTTCTGAGTGTGGGGTTAGAGGCCAGGCTCCTGGGCCAGCAGCAATGCCTGTTGTGTGCAATCCATACTAGAAGGCACAACAGAGTGCTCCCCTCTCAGAGCTGTCACGAGGGGTCAGGGGCTCATTTCCCAGGCAAACCTTTCCAGTGAAATGCTTAGCATACTGAGAACAACATCAATGCTATCAGCCATTGTTATCATGTTACTGTTATTACAGGGGGAAATATCCCAGAGATGGTTTCTGGTTTTCAAGTTTCCTAGAACTTGTTTCTGTCTAGTGACATGAAGATACTGCTGACATTTGGCCACATGGGCCTGGGCTGCAAAGAATGAAATAGAATCAGTACATTTCATTTTTGCACAGTTTTAGAGCTAGAGGTGGAGACACCTTGGACCATGAGCTCCCACAGGGTATGCCACCATGAGTGGTTTTTAATCACACCTAAAATGGCCTCAAGGCAATCAGGTGAGCCAGAGAGGACTGGGGTTTCGGAGCAAACATCAGTCTGGAGGTGACCTTTAGGCCCAGACTGCCACCCTGCTTCTATGCTTGGCCACTGATCCTGAAGCTGTCTGAGTCTCCCCAGGCCTAGCTGCTCTTCCTCTGGCAGCAGAGCTATCCAGGTCTTGGAAGAACAAAGGGACTCATCCCTAGGGCCTCCTTAGTTCTATCCAACTTTCCATACAGGCTCAAGTTCAGGGTGGGTCTGCAGGCTTGGTTATTGTTGCTTTTTCCTGTTGCCTGGCAGGGTCTCTGCAGACCCCTTCTGAGTAGGGCCAAAGAAGGTACAGAAGGAGTTGAGCCCAGGAGACCAAAGGTGGGAGACAGAGATGTGGTGTCCCCTCTGAATTCTTTCAGAGCTGCCCATCTAGGTAGCTCCCCTCATTTGCCTCGGAAGTGGCTCTCTGCTGGTTAGGAATGAGAAAGAGTTCAGCTGGGAGAACCCAGATTTGGACTTCTGCACTAGAAGGAGAGATGTTCACGTTAGGCTAAGGGAGAGGAAAATCCCACGTGGACAACTCTGCTTCTAGGGCTCTGGGGACCCCTGCTGTGGTGTGTTTAGGTCAGCACAGCAGCCACCCAGGCATGCAATGGGTGCTTTCCTACCACTGCATGCGATCTGCACCATTTGAGTTTAAAGACTTAAGGTGTAGGTGGGGTCGTTTGCTTCCCTGAAGATGCCCTGACTTCATCTCTGCTAGGCTTCCTGCTCTTTTGTGTTCCAGAAAGATCCTTCATAGAGGGTGGGGCAAACTCCCTGATGGGACACAGCACTACAGTCTGCAGGTTCTCAGAGATGTGCTCTGGAGAACCAGAGGAAAGCAGAATTCAGATAGGAAGAGTAGCTGGCCCTGAAGCCTCTGTCCACATGCATGGACACATGGAAACAGACAGAATGAGTCTTGTGCAAGCCAGAGAAGCCCTCTGGGGAAGAGCAGCCAACAGAGGAATGAGTGTACATTTCTTGCATGTTTTCTGACCTAAACACCACCCCACACTTTCTTGGCGCCTGGTGTGGCCCTCTAAGGGTAGCTGGGACAGAAGAGGGGAAAGGGCACACTGGCTTCCTGCATTCTTTCATTATTGGTTGGAGCTTGACCTTTCAAAACCATGAATTTGTTTGTAAACTCTGATGCCAGCTGTGGACTTGCACATGAGAACACGCGTACATTTTCCTGGAGGTTCTCAGGCCTTGAAGCCCACACGTGGGGCTCATGGTGTTGTGCATTCTTAAAAGCAAGAAACATTACTGGCTGAAGGCATTTCCTTGGTGTTCTTTCCAGGACGGAATTTCTTCCCATCTGGCGTACTTTGTTGTTTTTCTATGAATTCCAAGTGCGACCCTGGCTGATGTGAGTCAGTCTGACAGCCTTGGCAGGCTGGGGCAAGTTTCAACCCCCTCAGTCTCATTAGCACCCCATCCTTCTTGGAAGGGCCAGGAACTGGGATTCAGAGTTCTTTGCCATGTGAGTCAGTCCCTTCAACTTTTCTCTGAGCAGCTGCAGTCACTTGATTTGCAGGGTCTTTGGGGACCTACTAGACTCTAAGTCTGGCCTAGACACCTATAGCAATTTCCTAGCCCATCCCTCTGTTGGTGGAAACCTGTGTTTCAGTTACCAACTTTTCTGTGCCCAGGAGGAAAAAACACTTTACAGATGAATATAGAAATCACAGGGGATCCCAGGAGAGGATCTAGGGTTCTGCACTGTTCTAGGCTGTGTTGTACATATAGCTTTCTTCTGCAGCCATGCTGAGAGTGGAGAAGATGATAGGGCAGGGTTAAGGGCTAATACAGGGCCCCTCAACCCTGCCCTCCCCTTCCTGTTATCCTCCCTCTCTAAGGAATAGTCTTTCCTTCCTCTCCCTGCCTCAGCGTAGCTCCCGCTCACAGCTCTGTGCCCATACAATCTCTAGCATCCCTACCATCTGTCCTAGAGACTTTAGGTTGACTCCTCATGTGCTGACCTGGGACACAGGGTGGAGAATGAACTCCTGTGCTAAGGGACAGGGGTGGGATCCCCGGCAGAGGTTCTGGGGCCAGAATGTGGGAGCTGCTTCCCTGACCATAGCCACTGACTACTCAAAGGAAAATGGGTTCCTGAGCAAGGAAACTATGATATATAGGGAAAGGGGAAATGCTGGTAAAGCATACAGAAAGGTGGCTTGCCACGGCTTTCCATGTCACGGTGAAGTGTCCTTAATACATGGGCCTTCTGCAATCTGACCTGGCACTTCCTGGGGTGTACTGAGGCCTGCAGGGCTCTGGCAACACCCTGAACTTCTTAGACTGGGCTTGGCTTCTGGGTCACACAGGGCTAAGGGGCTTTCACTGGGTGGGGCAGGTATTCTACAGACCTGGGACTAGTACAATGAGGCTGCAGAAAGGACGCTGCCACTGAAAGTTCCCGAGTCCATGTGATGCTTACAAGGACCTGGTGCTTGGAGGTCAGAGGGGCTCAATGGACAAAGACACCCAGGCAGACATGCAAGACTCACTGGGTACTTTCCTACCAACCTGTGTCCCTGGGCCTTTTCTAGGATCACTGACTCCTTACACACTGGCAGAATTCAGCATCATGTGGCTGGAGGGAGGCGGCATCTATCCGGGAAGGGAGAACCTAGGCAGCGCATGGCTCAGGGAGAGGAGCCACCTGCTGTCTGGAAGGAACCCGAAGGGTGAGTCCTAGGAATGCCTTGGCCAATTCCACTTCCAATGACAGCCTGGAAACAGCCTGTTAGAATTATCCTGTTTCCTGCCTGGGCTGCATGCCATGTTGAGAGTTATTCTGAGCTTTTCGCTGAGGAGGAAATGGCTGCTTTGTCTCTTTCCACCTGTGAGACCCAAGACTGAACCTGGCCTCCTGCCTGGGGAAACGCTGCCCAGGTAACAGACCATCAGCTGCCTCAGATGGTTTGTGTTTCCCGAGTGGCTCAAAAGCATCGAAGGTTCAGAATGATGAGGGAAAAGGGCTATGAGGGTCTCTTTGTGGGGCTGTTGAAGTGTAAACCAGGTGGCAGCAGGAGGGCGAGGTCTGACCAACCTTTCATGGTGACAGACCAAGGGTAGGAAATCCACTGACTCCTTACACACTGGCAGAACTCAGGCTCATGAATCACAGCCTAGAGTACCACCTGCCCCAGGACAGGCCCAGCACTAGCATTTCATAGGTTCCTGGGGCTAGAGTCCTCAAGGGAATACTTACTGGGAGGATTCAGCAAGCTGGCTCTGCCAGAGGTGGGAACCTGAAGCTCAGAGTGGCTGACCCGGAGGTCAGGGTCATCAGTTAGGCCTGGGTCATCTGTCTGGCCTGCGGGGGAGGAAGCAATTTCTGCCAACACCTCTAGATCCTTCAGGACGACCTGGGGAGACAAGCAGAGGAAGAGGGTCCCTATTACAAACTGAGCTGACCCGGTAGAGGTAAGCTCAGAGACAGAGACCTACCTGTAGGGGCTTGCCAGTTGTGACAGCCTCAAGAGCATAGCTATGAAGATATGGATTGAAGAGGCCACAGATGGCAATGTACGGGGGGGTTGTGGAGGAAGGCTGCTGGAATATGAGGCTGGACAGATACTTTCCCATGAGCTCTCCTCTCTCGTCCCAAGCAGAGGTTGGAGAGGTCCCCAGGAGGAATGGGTCTCAGGTGCCAGTGTACCTTATGCACAGTGAGTACTTCAGGCCACTGTGTGTGGGCTATGTGAGGGTCTAATGATGCCCCTGAGGCCAGTGCTCTATTGTATGTAGTGACTTCAGCCCTGCCTACTATGGCCACAGAACAGATGTTACTGCAGGTGTGACACTGGGCCACAGACTCCAAAAAGCCCTCCACATGTGGAGTATTGACTCTGGTCTCCAGGGCAAGGACTTCTAGACATGGCTGCTTCCAAAATGTTCCTACCCAGGGTTCAGTGGAGCCAGGCTTCTAAAACCTGACTATCTACATGTCAAGCTCTTCGAAGGAAGAGGAAGAATGGAGTGTGGGGACAGTCCAGAGTATGAGTACAAGTCATGCTGTCACAAAGCCCCCCAAAGATGCCCCTACAATCCAGAGTGCTCCTGTAGACTTGGGAGGTACACCATTTTCACCTGGCACCAAGAGCCAACAGGGTGGTAAAGTCTAAGCCCATCATTTCTCTCCTGCAGGAGGCAATGGGGACAGGCCAGGGATGTGCCCTATTGGGAGGGACCTCACCATGGATGCATACATGTATGTCACCTCTCCCAGGGGTTGTTGAACATTCCTGAAACCTGCTCACAGGGAGCTAGCCCATTCCACTGCAGGTGCTGCTGGCTCTTTCTGCTCCCTGCTCATCTCTGCTCTGAAGAGGGTTGTGTGTGTTCTATCCACAGGACATCCCTGGGACTGTCCTTGGCATTGGGCACATATCCAGTGAACATAAGCTGACTGGATGGATATTATGCCTCTTTTTTGGCTACAATGGGCCCAGACCAAGAATCACCATGGAAATATGGCTTCAGCCCTGGACCAGCAGAAGTGACACAGAGCTTGATGGGTGAAACCCTGATAGGTCAGCTGGGTAGAATATGGTGAGTTCAAGGTCAAGATAAGACTGCTATAGGGCTCCTTTTGGGATGATGAAAATGTTCTGGAATTAGGTACTGGTGATGGCTGCAAAACCCTGTAAATAAAGACGCTCTTCAACTTATGATGGGGTTATATCCTGATAAACCCAATGTAACTGTAAAATAAGCCACTGTAATTGGAAAATATCATAATCAAAAATGTATTTGATTCACCTAACGTACTGAACATCATCGTTTAGCACTCATGCTGTAGAGTATGTTTCCCTTTTAGATGGCCAGGCTGACTGGGGGCGACCCAGCATCAAAGAGATTATGAAGTTAGTGGTACAGCCTGTAACCCTAGCACTCAGAGGCCGAGGCAAGAGGACTGCAAGTTTGAGGCTGGCCTGAGCTATACAGTACACAGTTGAGTTTGGCCTAGGCTATACAGTGAGACCCTGTCTGAAAAAAAGAACAAAAGAACAAAAAAGAAAGAGAGAGAGAGAGAGAGAGAGAGAGAGAGAGAGAGAGAGAGAAAGAGAAAAAGAGGCAGGGAGGCAGGCAGACTATACTGCATATCAACAGCCCAAGGGGAAAAAAATCAAAATTTGAAGTGCAGTTTCCAATGAACAAGTATCAGTTTTATACCACTCTAATAAAAAAAATCAAAGTTGAACCATAGTAAGCTGGAGAACATATGTATAACACAAACCAGTGAACTATATCCATAAAAGGGCTCATTTTATCTCAAAACCAAACAAATGGAAATATATGGCTTGCCTCTCCTTTAAGCTTGGAGGCACTTCTATCAATGTGGATAAAACAAGCCAGTGTCTCACTCTACACAGCCCAATTGTCACTTCACCTGGATGTCCTTCTGGCTAGCCCTACCACACCCTGCTTTGGCTCCCTTTGCCTGCTGGTCCATTCTACCTCTCAGTCTTCTCCAAAGTGCATCATGTGTTTTGTCTGTGATCTCACCAGCTGCACCCTGGCCACCTCCAGGTGGGCAATGGTATCACTCACACAGATGTCACCCTCAGTGCCCCTCCTTCCCTTGCAGGCCCTGACACATTCTCTAGGCCCTGCCTGAGCCCCTCCTCTGTTATCAGGGCTGTGCCGGGTGCTAGGCTGGAGTAAGTCAGAACTACCCCTGCCAAGAGCTGGTGGGCAGGCTGACTGGTAAACTGATCGCTAGCACACAAAGCCCTGGCAAGGAGCTGAACACTCACCTGCCCTTCCATGCATTGGAATATGGGATTTTACTTGCTCTTAGAACATTTTTATTCAAGGCCTATGGGAAATGGATCTGTAGTGGCTGAAAACCGTGGCCACTATCAGATGGCAGGAGCAAGGGCTGAGCCTGTAGAGCCTGGGTAGGTCTAGGCCCAGGGCTGTTTGCATGGAGAGAAGAGCCTTCAACAGTGCGGGAAAGGGTGGAATGGGGAAGCAGACAGCATAGCAGTAATGTTTATCTCTCCAAGATGAGCAGACCCTACATACCTTCCTCTACAGGCTGAGCAGAGGCCATGCACCCCAATGCTGCATTTCCCAAACAAGTTGCTCCCCAAAGATCAGGGAGGGAAAATGAGACCAGGGACAGAGGGTAGTAGGAGAATGATTCACCCCAAATTAAACAGTGAGGCAAGAATCAAGCCAAGAGTTCTCAGAATATTAAACGGAGTTGCCAAAGGTATACTCCCATCCCTAGGTAGTCACCAAGAGAGTTGCAAACATGTCCACACAGAAACTTCTATATAAATGTTCACTGTAGCTGTATCCCTAAGAGCCAGACAGTGGAACAACTGAAAGGTCCATGTACTGAAAAAAAGGATAAACGATCCAACCCATGGGATATGATTTGGTTATAAAAAGGGATGCGGGTGGGGTGTACAGTGGCACATGCCTATAATCCCAGATACTTGGGAGGATCACAGCTACAGAGCAGCCCTGGCAAAAAGTTAGTGAGACTCCATCTCAACAAATAAGCTGAGTATGATGGCACATACCTGTGGTCTCAGCTACTTGAGAGGTATAGGTAGGAAGAATCATGGTTCAAGGCCAGCCCTGGGCAAAAACATGAGACCCTAACTGAAAAATAATTAAAGCAAAAAAGGGCTGAGGCCATGACTCAAGTAGCAGAGTACCTGCCCGGCAAGCACATGGCCTGAGCTCAAACCCCAGCACTGCCCCCCCCAAAAAAAAAGAAAAGAAAAAGAAAGAGAAAAAAGGAATTGCACACTGGCACATGCTACAATAGGAGGAACCTCACAAACATTTGTTAAGTGAAAGAAGCCAAACATATAAGGCCACAAACTGTGTGATGATTCCATTTATAGGAAATGTCCAGAATAGGCAAATCCAAGGCAGAAAGTAGATTAGTGGTTGCCAGTGAATAGGGGAGGGAGACCTGGGGAGTGACTGCTAATGGGTACAGGGTTTCTTACTGAGATAATGAAAAGGTTCTGAAATTAGATAGCAATGGTTGTACAACCTTGTGAAAATGAAAATATTTTTTAAAAACTACTGAGTTTTGGTATGTGAATTGTATGAAAAAACAAAAAGCCACATTCTCAAACTGGCACCCTAATTCCCAGTCTAGAACGATGTGTAGGGAAATTGCTCTCGTTCTGCATATAGCCTGAGGTGGGCATGCTGCACAACTTTCCACCTGATCCAGACTTAAGAGGAAAGATGAGAGGGCTCCAGAAGGCCACACTTCTCTCTTTTTAGCCCTGTGTATCTGTGGGCCCTGCTGTGCACACCTGCACTGACTGCCACTCTCAGGTCTGTCTGCAGGTGGACAGAGGTACACAGCCTCTGGGCAGCAAACCATGGTGGTCAAACACACCCAGTGGGGAAACTGTGAGCCAGCCAGGTTAACTGGGCTGAGCCAGGCTAGCCGTCACAAGATTCCTGACACCAGGACAGGCACATTGACCTGCTAGGGATTTGGTGGGTACCTGGTAAGAACCAGCAGCCATGTCTACCCTGAGTGGCTCCAGAGCCAGGCTGCAAAGGATGGGAGGTCAGGGAGGAAGCTGTCCTTGTTCCTGGCCAGAATTAATACCCTCATTTGTTATCAGCATCACCTTATGTACTACACAGGAGAAATCTGAGGCTTGGATAGTCACCACTCAGGATAACAGTGAGTCCACTTCATACCCAGCTCTGATCCCCAAACCTGAGGCTATCAATAACACTACTCAGGGGTTTGTGGCCAGATAGTCATGACTTCTGACCCTGACACTCAGCTGCCTGAACCTGGGACCAGTTAACTCTATCCTTCTCTTCCCAGCATCTGTGGAGCAGGTACTGTGGGCCAGTTCTGTCCTGGCTGTAGAGATGCGAAGCCTAACAGGCCAGGCTCTGCCTTTGATAAGTCACAGGCTCATGGGGACATGGGAGTAAACATTAACTGACAATATAAGCTCTGGCATTGGGAGCGGGCAACTCGGCCTGAGGAGAGTTGGGAGCCTTTGGGTGCCGCTGAGCATCAATTTGCAAAGGTAATAGAGGAAAGGGGAGAAAGGCATTCAAAGCATCTTCTAACTAGCATAAGCCACTCATAGATGCAGGGAACAATGTAGCACACTCCAGGAAACTAAGCTCGTGGTCTAGCTCCAGAGTAGGGTGTGAGGCTAGAGTGGAGGATATGGGGCAGACTGTCATGAACTATGACCAGACAAAGGAGTATGGACTTCATTATGCAGGTAATAGGGAGTCTCAGCTTTCCCCATAATGTGCAAATGTCCTGAAGACTATAGGAGACACACCTGGCCCTTTGTGTCTGAGGATTCAACCAATCATGGATTGAAAATATTAGGGGAAAAAAAGG